CGGCCTGTAGCGCTGCTGGTCGCTGCTTGATCCGCGTTACCGGGAGGGGGGTGTCACTGTGCCCGCTGAGTTCCCCCGCACCAAATCTGTAAAGGAGTCAAAGTCTAGTTAAATGCTTTAGAGTTCAGTATTTCTTTCTGGAAAAATAAAATCCGTGTGTTTCCCTGATCTTATTGATTGCATTGAATTGCCTCTTTCTTACGGCTTTGTCTTGAGCAGCTCCACCCTTCGTCGCATCTTTGTCTTACTGAGCCATCATTTTCTTAGTGCTCAGTAGTCTGTGGTAATGTGTCGCCACCATGCTGAGCATTGTCAGGTGATTTTTCTTAATGGGAAACAGTAGCTCGAGGTGGTTTTAAATTGTTTGCTCTACGCAGAAGAACAGAGAAGTTGGAAGGGATCGTGCATGGCAGTCCTCATTTTTGGCATTGCTGTCTTATCCTTAAGTGACGACAGGTCTTTCCAAGTCTAGTGCCTGGGCAAGTAGATGCAATCAGGTGGATTATGAATCTTTAGACTTTTGTTTTAAAAATGTCAGGGAGATTGTGAAAATGTGAATTTTCCAAACAAAAATACTGTACCGTACCTGGATTAAATAAAGTTATCTGTATTCAAACAGTTCATACATACTGATCCAACAAAACCTGATACTGATTCAAACTTCTATGTTTTGTGCTGTCAAAACATATGGATTTTGGTTCCCCTAGTACAGAGTGATACGTAATTAGAGAGATGATACTTAACTCCTTAGTCTCCTACATGAGTTCTGTGAAATGATGGGTAAATTTGTATGAGGTGATATACATGTAAATAAGTGACTAGAACACCGATAATATCCTGTTAAGGAAGTACTGTCAGTGTTCATTTTGCTTTAATGAACATTTAAAAGGCTGCTTAATGGATTAGCCAGTGAGGCTTTAATTATTAGCTGAATTTAGTTAACGTTAGCTTTTTTTAATTATTGTCAAATACTAACCTATACACTATAACTACAGGTTTTAATTCACATACTTGAGTTAATATAAACTGCATTTTCAAGTGCATAAACAGCCTTTCTGATAACTGGCTGGTGTTCGTAGTGCATGAAGAATCCCTGTTTACTTGCTCTTAGTTTTGAGTGCTTCTGTACAGAGAAATTCAGCTAATGGTCTGTTAGCTAAAATGATTTACATGAGTATGTAATCTTGATTAAAATTTACTTTGGTTAATCCCTTCTTTTAAAATGCCCAAACAATCAGTTTTGTTTTGGTTTGGTTTTCTTTTTTTATTTTCTCCCTCTTTCCCCCCCTCCCCATTGCTTTAAAGTGTTGATTTTCTTTTGATGCTTAAAACCACAGCTGATCAGCACATAAAGTTTGTATGATAGTTTTTATAGGAGAAATCTGTGTGCATTGATCTTTAAGGCTATGTCAGGATAAACACCATTTGGGACTCTGAAAGCAAAACAAATTGTGAGGATGAAGGAACAGGGGAACTAGGCATCTGGCCTTATACCTTTAATCTGGGTTTTTTTTGGTGTGATGTTAGTGCTGATTATAGCTCTGCCCTACTCTGCGCTGTGAGCAGGCAGTGCTTCAGTTCAGTGCTTTTAAGAGCACATATGAGCGTGCCAGACATGGGGAGTGGGATGGGGGGTAAGGCCTTAAGAACACTGTCATCTCACCAGAAGTCTTCTGATCCTGATGACCTAGATTGGTCAGACAGTGCCGTTTTCGCTTTGCTGGGTCTTGCACTGTTCTCTGGAATAGCTCAGCTGCTGTTCTGCTCATTTTTATATTCTCTATCAAGGCAAAGATCTTGATTGAATTGGTTCTTTTAAGCACATGAGTAGGGATGATGTAGCTAAAACCTGACTAGGCCCAGTGGGGGAGAGCTTAGTGGTTTTGTGAATGCTTAATTCAGTATATAATCATTTAGTCATTACCCCAGTAAGAAGATTACATTTGATACTAAAACCCTGTTCTGTGTGCATCAGGGGCAGTAACACTTGATTTTCAGTGGTTTTGAGGGCTTTTCTCTCTCCTCTCTCTCTGCTGCAGTATTTATCTTGTTATATGTTCCTCCTGCAATTCCTGCGGCCTGAGAAAATGAAGTGATTAGTTTAGCAGGCATGAATTGTCTGCCCAGCTGGCTGCTCCCAGAATAGGCGTGTGGGTAATTTTTTTCTTATTTTGCCTCAGTGAACACCACTGAGCTGCTTATTTTTCCCCAAAATGTACAGGGATATGAGTTGGTAGGTACAAATGTTACTGGATGGCGGTTGTGACTTAGTAACTTTTCTTAGCTTCCTTACAAAACAATCTCAAAACTAATTGCAGAGTAACTCTTTCTCTACATCTATGACTAAGCTGAGTCTCACCTGGGGAGTTAAGCTTTGATCTCTGTGGTAGTATCTTACTGTTTGTACTGTAGAATTTTTGGTAGGAGGTGTGCTCCGAATTTAGGAAGAAAGCAGCACAAACTGTCCTTGTCCTCTCTGCTGATAAACTCACTTCTATGGGCTGAATGTTCATTGCTTTCTGTTCTTTTTGAAATCTGTTACTTGTTAGAAGTGGTTTTGCCAGTAATGATATTATTTTATTGGAATGGTATATATTTTGGTTTGTCATGCCAAAAGAAAGAGGGACTTGGACTATAGTGTGATTCCTTGTAGAGGTGGCCGACTTATATAAATAGTATCAATAATCAGTAGGTATCTCTTGTTCAGACATGTGCATGATCTCATCTTGTAAGGATGAGCTGCTTGGGGGCAGAATGTTTTAGAAGTTGTTGTTGGAGCTCAGACACATACATGAGGTGTATTGCCTCATTTGAGGCATGTTGTTGCCTAGTGAGGTGGAGACAGCCATCTTTATTTCATCCACTGCAAGCCTTCCGTGTCTCTCAGAACACATGTTCCTCTGTGTGTACTTGTGAGGAAACTGTTGGAATTATTTAGACATTTAACAAACCATTTACCACTGGGATTCAGAAGAGAAGTGACTTGTATACCAGCGTGTCCTTGCACCAAATTTTGTGCAGCAGGTGAGCCTAAGGCTTATATTCTACACCAAAGTCAGCCTTTTATTCAACAGTATCTTTAAACATTACAAAAATTAGTTCAAGAAAGTAATTTTTTGAATAGAGAATAGAACTACTCTTCACTAGAAAGGTTATTTGTGTGTGTTGAGGAACTATTGGAATATGTTAGTGCTATAAAATCCTGATGCATCGTAAGCCAATATTTGCCATACATTCTTGCTTTCTAAGTGTAGATGCCCTAATGTAGTTGGTTGCAGTCACAGAACATCCTTGAAGGATCATCTAGTCCAACATTCTGTGGGAAAGGGAGCCTTGATGAGATGATCAAGCACCCTTTCCAATCGTATCTTGAAAATCTTGTGATGGGGACTCTGCCACGGCCTTGGGGAGGTTGTTGCAGTGACTGTTCTCACTGTAAAATTCCTCTCCTGGAATCAACATGTTCATAGTCTTCGTGCTATAATGATACTGAGTGGAGGAGGAAGTAAAAAAAGGCAACATAGTATCTTTTACATACTGAAATAGTTATAATGAGAATCTACCTAGTTTCACTTTTTTAGCAAGATGAATTCAATAGTGAAGTTTGCTTATTTAAAAATGATTCTGTAGCAAAGTGAGTGAAAATTCTTAGCTCTTCCATCCTCAGAAAGGAACACAAGTACAAAAGAATACGAGGACATTATTTAAAAGATCAAGTGTGTGGGTCTGGTTGAACCTGTAAGAACAGATCATCTGAACCTTTTCCTGAAGGCTTCTCCAGAGGCTGCTGGGAGTGTTGTGGCATTCTGTCTGCTCTTCCTGCAAGCCCTGTGCCCTTCCTGGTAGTGGCACACTGCTGGCATTTTTGTTTGTCATATGACTAAATGTTTAAGAGCTATTTCTGGCACATGCCAGTCATGCTACATGATTGACATGCACTGGTCATGTGGCCGTGTAACTAGTCATGTTCTGATGTGACTGACAGGGTGTCTTCACTGCTGTGATTAACACCCGTGGCTTTTGTCACATGGCGGAGGAGTCCTGTGGGTGTGCTGGGGGAGAAGCTGGGTTCTGCTGCTGCCTGGTATCTTTGTCAGGGTGATGTTTATGGATCCTCACCAGTAAGGATTGTGGCCCAGCTCTGCCAGATCCTGAACGTGTTCGTAGGTGGCAGTTGTGCTCAAACATTTTTTTTTCTCTGGAGTATTTGTTTAATCTCTGCAGCTGTAGAAGGGAGGATGGAGTTAACTAAAAGCAATCCTTGCATCTCTTGATGAAATTAAATAAAATTCAAGAGAAAAATGAGCCTGAATCCAACCTTGAATGGATAAATGATTACTTTTGACATAGCACTAATTTCACTGTACAGTGGTGCATTAGGAAGCGCTGCCAAGATTGTGAGGGGGCTCTGTAAATGTGTTGCAGTGACTAAGTCTGCACTAGTGATGGGATGCATAGGATGAGTAGTTTTCCATCATAACTTCTGATGATCTACACAGCCGGATTAAATATTCATAGAATCATAGAATGGTTTGGGTTGGAAAGGACCTTAAGATCATCTAGTTCCAACCCCCCTGCCATGCGCAGGGACACCACCCACTAAACTATGTCACCCAAGGCTCTGTCCAGCCTGGCCTTAAACGCCTCCAGGGTTGGAACATTCACAACTTCCTTGGCCAACCTATTCCAGTGCCTCACCACCCTCACTGTGACGAACTTCTTCCTTATATCTAATCCCCTGTTTAAGTTTGACCCCATTCCCCCTTGTCCTGTCGCTACAATCCCTAATGAAGAGTCCCTCCCCAACATCCTTGCAAGCCCCCTTGAGATACTGGAAGGCTGCTACGAGGTTTCCACTCAGTCTTCTTTTTTCCAGGCTGAACTGCCCCAACTTTCTCAGCCTGTCTTCATATGGGAGGTGCTCCAGCCCCCAAATACTGAAATCTAGTAGTGAAAAAGTTTTTTGAGTTTGTTGTATGTTCTGTTTCTATCAGATACCATGCTTATGTGGAAGTGCCCCATGCCTGCTCTGCCGATGCTGCCCCAGCGGAAACAACTCCACCATAACTCGGCTCATTTATGCTTTCTTTTTACTTCTCGGCGTGAGTGTTGCCTGTGTGATGCTAATACCAGGCATGGAAGAACAGCTGAAGAAGGTCAGGTTACTTCTTTACTAACATGTGTGGTAGAACAAATGTCACAGACAATAGTGAATGACATCTTGAAAGCATGGGTTTTATTTGGAAATAGGTCATTGTGCTGCCACCTGTGCTTCACAGTCACCATTAGATTGTAGATCAAATAAACAAAGAACTCGTGGAACTGTCACTGCATGGATGAGAAGCACTATTTAGAGAGAAGGTTGTACCTCTTCCTTAACAGCTCAGAGGAAAAAAACCCCAAAATCTTGTCTCAAACAAGAAAATGTAGTTTATGTGTATGGAGTTTTTAATTATACATTATTGAGATGCTTGTATTTGTGGCACTTGATTGATTTTTAAAAAAATCAAAAGATTTTATTATTTGCTGTTAATAAAATCAAAAGATAACCACAGCAGTTTCATTCTGCTATACTAGTTAAAATTCTATTTTAAAGTCTGCAAATGCATAACAAAAATGTTTTTCACTAACGATAGTAGCATATTTTTCACTAAGGAAATTAGGAAGTGCTTATAGGATTTTACAGTTTATTAGTTATAGGCAGATCCGATAGTGCATGTAAAATTACTGAGTGATAATTTGAGTTATGGGAGTGCTTATAGGTTCACTGAACTTGGATTGCATGTGCTTTGGTTCTGTTAGTCTTTGTTTTGCCGTTTTTGTTTTGTTTCTAGGTAATCGGAATGCTGTTAGGCATGCTTTTGATTTTCTTCCCCCAGAATGATTCATCTGTAAACGGTTATTTCAGTGTGGTATAGTAACTACATTAGAGTTTCAGTAAGAGCCATGTTAGTCACCTAGGAAAGAAAATTACAGCCTTCTGGAGTATGATTTGACTTCAGAAAGATGTTTCTCATGTCCTGGTAGTGACTGGAAAGGATATTCTCAGCTGTTTCATATGGAGGGTACAGATGCTTCTAATGGATGTTACTTTTTTGGTGGAGAGAAGTAAGCAAGCTGCCTTCTCCTGGCTACCTGATAGTAGCCGTCAAATTTATCAAATCCCAGATCTTTTATTTATCTCCTGCTTCAGCAAGTGAAAACTACATTTCCTTGAGAAGTTCCAAAATTGCTAATATCAACACCCCCCCCCCATTCATAAGACTTGGTTTTGTTTAGAATTTGCCTATGTGGGATTTTTTTTCCTTGAATGTGTTTAATATTCTGGTTGGACCATAAATAACAATACAGCCCTTCAGTATTATATTTTCTAGCAATGATGATAGTTGCATAACATTAAAATATTAATTAATGGTATATTAATAAATTGCTAATACATATTTACTCACAGGATGCCTTTTACAGGTCACTGAAGTATCTTGTATTTATCACAGATTCCTGGATTTTGTGATGGAGGGATGGGAACAACTATTCCTGGTGTGTACGGCCACGTGAATTGTGATGTACTAGTTGGTTACAAAGCTGTGTACCGTGTGTGCTTTGGTATGGCCATGTTCTTCCTCCTCTTCTCCTTATTGATGATCAAAGTGAAGAGCAGCAATGACCCAAGAGCAGCAGTGCACAATGGGTAAGATACAGACATGAGCGGTGTGTGCATATGAGATAAAGCTACTGTGAAAATTAAGCCTGTGGCCGAGCACACTGGTCATATTTACTGTTCCACAAACAAAGAGTTTCATAGTAGCTCGAGGAGTGTTGTTGCAGTAGAGGGCACTCAAAGTTCTTAGACATGGCAGATTAATTTTTGTAAGAGGAAAAGATCAATTTTCACAATCGATAATCTGTCCAGAGGTTTCCCAAGATCAGAGGTTCTGCTTTTGTCCAAAGATGGCAAAATTCAGAGATGAATAATGGCATGAAGTTTCATTCCACTGAGATTTTTTCAACAAATTGAAAGATTAAAAAGCCTCATCTGTCCTCTAGGAATTACACTCCTCTTAACTTCAATGTTAGTAAAGGCTTGCTCTTTTCCAGACGGTTTTATTTTGAAACTTAAAACAATTTATGTATGTATCTATATAGATATATGACAGATCTCTTCCCCCTCTTATCTTTTTTTCATTCTTCTCTCTGCATAAAGAAGAATGAGTTACGTATTTAGTTTCTGAGCTTCCCAGTAAATTTTTCTTTTTTATTGCATTATAGTTAGGATTATCAGTTGGAAGATGAATGGAGTTGACACAAGTGGTAGTTTTCATCCAGGCTTATATGCAGTGTAGCTTCTTGAACCAAGAAGGTGTAAATAATTGTAATAGGGAATGTTACTAAAAAGCATAAAATTATTTATGGTACCTAGTCTTGGTGATCACAGTGATTTTTTAGACTACTTTTTCAAGATGATTATACTTAATAGAAACTATGAACAACTAAGCCATGAAAATGAAAATCAGTGTAACAAGATTAAACATTTCTAGCGTAAAATGAGAAAATCTTGAAATGATTGCTGTAGGGGAAAGGAAAATAGTTAAGGCTGAGCAGAATATTGCTTTGTTTGCTGGTTCTGTTTGTATTGGTCTAAAAAGGAGACCGGGTACAATATTAAGATGCATTAGCAGCAGTAACTCAGATGAGCCTTTCCCTCCACCCTGCTTTGTTCAGAAGAGCATACTTGGTACAGGAAGAAGAAAATAGTTCAGGTACATTCTATAGCAACACTTTGTAGTGGGGTGGGGCTTTTTTTTTTTGTTTTGTTTTGGTGTGGTTTGTTTGTTTGTTTTTATTTTAACAATGAAAACCACCTTTTACATGATGTAGAATATTTTTACCTGAAACTGCATCTTTAATGTTTGGGATTTTCTTGATGCCCTTGTCTGGGGTTGTGCTCTCCATTACAAATGTTGGTACTATTTATGCAGCCTGTAGCAGTTTACTCGTAGCCAGTCTAGTGTCAGCACCAGGGTAAAAGGAAAAACAATACTTGTTAACTGTTACAGGGACAATACTTAATAATGTTACTACCAACACTTCTGTAATAATTGTTTGCTCCAATAGAATGCATTACAGGTAGCTTGATGAAACCATGGCTTTTGTTTTTTGAAATTGTATGTCTCTTCTCTAATACTTCATGATGTCATCTTTCTGCCAGTGATTTGAAATGTTCAGAATATAAGGTTTTCCCTTATATGTGTACTAACTTTTTCATACTCGTGCGAGTTAAGCCTAGTGATGTGATCTGGTGCCAGTGTTAGCTGCTTTTGCTTTAATGGCAATATTCAGAATGGTTTCCAGCCTCAGATTAATACAAAAAATCAGTTATAATATATTCACAGGATTGTTGCTGGCTTGCACAGAATTCATAGAGACTATAGATGTTATTTCAGATGAGAAGTGTTTTCATCTGTCACATGTTATATGGGTAGAGTGTTAAGATTAGTCCATTTTTCCCTATATTCTTTACTCAGTCATCTCACATAGTGTCTCTCCACACAACTGGAATGTATTTCTCTGGTCAGCATCCCTTGATCGTAACAGCCAGAAAGACAGATTCAACATGCTCAAAGTATGAGGAAAGATGGGCAGGGATAGAACGCTGGAAAGCTGTCCAAGTGTTTGACATGGTGGGATGCGGTACCTGTCTTTGTGTTATATTCAGTTTAGAAGTAGACGTAGATGATACTGTGCCTATGTTTGGAGCTGCCTGATGCTGTGATCAGAAAAAATCATCTTCAGCTTCTTATAGTTTTGTTGGTGTAACATTTTGATTTGAAGTTTCCTATGCAGGATATGTTTGTATACAGTCTGTATTTGGGGTGAGTTTGGTAAATCTTCAGTGGAAGATATTTCCTGTCTGTTTTCTAGGAAACTTCTGATCTCTTTTGTTTGTCCATGACTTTATCTTCTACTAGAAAAAAATAAAATCCAATGGTCCTGCACTGGAACAGGGACTTAGAATTTGATTGTGTCCATTCTGTGAAGGATAAATCCTTTGCTTTTGTTGCTGTGATAAATCCTCAGCAGATGTAGGCCTAAAGAGTCTGAGTCCAGGCTTTTGTACATCTCTTCCTTGTAGGAAGTGAATCGGGACTGGTAGGGAACTCCAGCATAATGTTTTCTGTCCTTGTAGGAGCCAAACAGATCTGCCTTTTTGGTTTGATATTAAAAACAGGTAGGGATTTTTAACCTGTTTTTGTGATACGCAGGCAGCTCAGTAATCTCGCTGCTCTAGTTAAAAACCTTCTTTAAAAAACGCCCAACCAAACAAAAAACCTCACAATTATCTTCACCCTGGCTTAATTTGTAATACACGAGTGAGATATCTATGGGAAATGTGTCAAATTGTGTGTCAGTCTAGCACAGTTTAAGCATAATAAGAACAAAAATCTTGGGGAGGTAAGAAGATTTTTATCCTAATTCAAAAGAACTGAGTTAAGAATAAGTGAATTAAAAACCCCAACCATTAAGGATGTGTATTTTGTGTACTTCAAAGTTGTGAATTAGATCAGACTTCAGCAGTGGCTTGATTTGGTTTTTTTTCTTTTTAATTTAATTTCCTTTTAGATTCTGGTTCTTCAAATTTGCAACAGCACTTGCAATTAGTGTTGGAGCTTTCTTCATACCAGAGGGACCATTTACAACTGGTAAGGGAGTATTTTCTTCTCCTGTATCATGATGCAAACATAAATGATTTTAAAATGAAACTAAGTGCATGCTGATGTCTGAGAGCTTTAATTGTAGCTGTCTAACTATAGCACTTTGTTCAGGAACATTAAGACAAGGTGTAAATTATTTGTGGTTCTTAACTTTTTGTTTTATTTCTCTTCTAGTGTGGTTTTATGTAGGTATGGCTGGAGCATTCTGCTTTATTCTTATTCAACTGGTCTTGCTTATTGACTTTGCACACTCCTGGAATGAATCTTGGGTTGAAAAAATGGAGGAAGGGAACTCAAGATGCTGGTATGCAGGTAAACGACTCAACCGCAAGCAAGTTTTAAATTCAATTGTGCATTATGTTAAATCAGTTACTTGCCAAGTAGTGCATTTTACCAGAGTGCAGAAGAGCTGCTTTGTGCATAATTATCACTTTCTCAGATGGTGCAGTTCAGCTCTGTTATTGTGCTGTCCTTTTGATGTCAAGTTAAATAAAGGGGGCAAGGGAGAGGGGCAGCAGCCTCTCAGTAATAAGATCTAATTTCTGGGAGCAGGATTTCAGTTTGTGATTGCAGAGAAGTAGCAGGTGTTATTTTTTGTTTGTTTGTCTTTTTTTTTCAGCCATAAATTTTGTTACACCTTAGCACTGATTAAAACCAAAGTAGCCTCTTACTGCTTCATGTGGAGCATAAGTATCTCAAATAATTTTTTACTTTCTGTCTGCCAGTTGGTCACTCTTCAAATGTACATGCCGAGTGAAAGGCCGAGATAGTGAAGGAAAGTGCAAGTGATGTCACTGGAGAAGTTACGTGTTAATTTTAATAAAGCATTTCAGATGTGATAATTTAGGTATTTCAAAAGACAGCACAGCCTGTCTTTGTGCAATGGCTGCTTTAATCTTTAATCTTTTTAGTAAAATGGAATTTGGAAATAACATTTGGTTTTCCTTCTATTGGAGAAGTAATTCTTCAGTTTGTTTTTTAAGCTTTTAGGCAAAGTGTGTGTGATGTAACTGTTCATTCAGACGTGCTGCTCTTGGTTACTGTTCAAGCACCGGAGAATCCAGTATAGCTTCAGGCTTCCCATTAATTGTGTTCTTTCTTTTTAACACATCAAAGTATTGAGAACTTACTTCCTTTGTGCTTCAGTGCCCAGAGCTGCTGTCTAATTGTGATTGTATACTGTATCCAAAACCTGAGAATCGTGCAATATTATTTCAACTCTAATACCTTCCATTCTTAACCAGTTTAACTGTTTTTTGTCTCTTTTCACAGCTCTGCTGTCAGCTACAGCTGTCAATTACCTGCTGTCTCTGGTAGCTATTGTCTTGTTTTATGTTTATTACACTCATCCAGAAGGTTGTTCTGAAAACAAGACATTCATCAGTGTTAATATGCTGCTGTGTATTGGTGCTTCTGTCATGTCAATTCTGCCGAAGATTCAGGTATAGTTTTATAGGGTTTGGGGTTTTTTTTTGGTGGGTTTTTTTTTGTGTGTGTGTGTTTTAGTTTGTGGGGGTTTTTTTGTTTTTTTGGTTTTGTTTTTTGTTTTTTTTTTTTTTTTTTTTTTTTTGTTTTGTGTTTTTTGGGAGGGGGGGTTTTGTGTGTTATCAGTCCCAGAAACCTGTAATATATAATTGTGCCTGAGACTTGTAATTGCCTAACTTTGCTGTTTCATGACTACTTTGTATAGGAATCTCAGCCGAGATCTGGTTTGCTGCAGTCTTCTGTGATCACAGTTTATACCATGTATTTGACTTGGTCAGCTATGACCAATGAACCAGGTAAGTGTAGGAGCAATGTATGTTTTTTTGGGTAACCAGCTTGGCAGTAAATTGTATTTTCACCATTTTGCAAGGCAGTATTCAAATGGGGTACTACAATGCATGCAAGGTGGAGGCACGACTCATTAGTTTGTGTTCTCTTCTCCCTCCCCAACTTTCTGTAATCATACCAAAGAAATAGCTCTTCCAAAGATAATGTGGTTTTCACTTGTTCTTATGTTTATCATATGGAAGAATTTCAACCTCTTACTGGCAGGATTGCAGTATCCTAAAGCTTAAGATGTTGCAGGTTCTCAAAGCTCTTCCAGGTGTCTGGAAGGTTCATTTCCCTACCAAGTTTCAAGTTTCTTACTAGTGACTGAGATATGCTATTGATTGTATTTTTCCAAACTGAGGATTTTAAATAATGTATTAGTAAATGTTTTCAGTGCTGCTTGTGTCTGAAAACAGCTGAGCATCTCTAAAAAAAAAAAGATGGAAAAAACACAGAAATTCTGGTCATTAAAATAAGCTGTCAAATACTGATTTTGGTGGTTTTAATTGAGTCTCTAGCCCTTTTATCTTTAATGATGGACAATCTTCTGTGCTTCTGTGTAACAGAGTACATATGAGTCATATCTACTTCCTGCAGTAATTACGGGGAAATAAGATGGTCTGCTGTTCTCAGCTTTTCATCCGTGTTATCTGTGGAGGCGGTGGATGGGGAACTGTTGGTAATAGGAATCTGACTTTGTAGGGTTATTTTCCAATTCTGAGATGACTCTGGTACCCCATGTACAGAGTGTACCTTTGTCAAACTTGTTTTCTAACGGTAGAATTTCTAAAGCTTAATATGCAGAGCATTTTTATGTTGTGGTATCTGATTATGAGATAAAACAGTAATGCTGTTGATGCATAGCTTAAATAAGTTTAAAATCCTTTTATCTGCTTCGAGAGACAGATTTTTATGCCACATACTGTCATTTGCCTGCTTTAGAGAGACTTGCTAGGCTAAAATGAGATTTAAAGGATTTTTTTACCTGAAGACTGTCACAGTTCCTTTCTGTTACCATGCGTTTGGTGTGGAAATGTAATAAAGTCCTAATGTAATATCCCCCACAGACAGGCGCTGTAACCCCAGTTTGCTGAGCATCATTGGTTACAACAGCACCACCATTCCAACCCAAGGTCAGGTAGTTCAGTGGTGGGATGCACAAGGAATTGTAGGACTGGTTTTGTTTTTGCTGTGTGTTCTCTATTCAAGGTAAGCTGCTTTTTTAAAAAAAATCCTATTAACTTTATTACTTCTCATTGCCAGATACTGAATTGTATTTATTTGAGTAACTGTACTGTGTCTTTTTGTGTCAAATGCAGCATCCGAACATCCAACAACAGCCAAGTGAACAAGCTGATGCTGACCAGCGATGAGTCAACACTGATAGAGGATGGAATGCCCAGGAGTGATGGCTCCCTTGATGATGGAGATGATGTTCACAGAGCCATAGACAATGAGAGGGATGGAGTTACTTACAGTTACTCTTTCTTCCATTTCATGCTTTTCCTGGCATCACTGTATATCATGATGACGCTTACCAACTGGTACAGGTATTTACGTATGGTAACATGTTTTTCTGATAATAAACATACAAGATGCTGTTAAAGAAAATTCTCCACCCCAGGTTTCCCACAGCAGAGTCTCTGTCATCTGATTCTTAGATAAATAATGTAACTGAGTGGTAACAGGAGCAGCTCGAGCTGCATGCCTCTGGGGACGGGATCCAGAACAAAGAGATTCCTAGGGTTTTGTACCTTTGCATTCTATGCACCAGACCATCAAGCTGTTCAAGCACCTTCCTTGCACATGCCTCTTGGTCCAATGATGAATTTTGATCTGGGTTCTCCTGTCAGTTATTGGGTTCTTTCTGGGCCTCTTCTTATCCTCATCTCTCCAGTTGTCAGTACTTGCTAATAGATGCACTCCTTTATCTTCCAGGTTGGAATGGGCTCAAGGCCTTCGTTTACATAACTAAACAAACATAGGTTGTAAGTTAAGGTCAGCTTTATCTAGGTGGGAGTTAGCTGTTTGTGGCCTAAGGCTTTAGGAACTTTAGCTTCCTGTGCGAAGCAACTACTCATGGTAAGCAAAAGCACTCATTCAGAAGAACTCAGTTAAAGGAGTTCAGATAACTAAACTTAATTCAGAACAGATGCCATTTTTTTGCTGGACAAGGAGAGGCGTAAGTTGTGTGCTGTTAGGAATGTAGGTCTCGAATGGGACTTCTCAAGTGAAGTATACTGTTTGATCTATTTTAAGTGAGTTGTATTTGAAGATTGGGAGTAGCCAGCGTTGTTCACAAGTGCTGCTTGTATTTTCTAGAGTAATTTTTATGATTCACTGGACTGCTGAAATGAGCAGAATAGAGTCTTAAATTCTGTAACAACTACAAAAAAGTAATCATTAGGCCCATGTCTGGTACAGAAAGCTGAAAAAAGGAGAGAGGGGACAAGTTATATCAGCAGGTCAAGGGAGGTGATCCTTCCCTCTGCTCAGCACTGGTGAGGCCACCCCTGGAATCCTGGGTCCAGTTCTGGGCTCCCCTATACAACAGAGGCATGGACATACTGGAGAGAGTCCAGCAAAGGGCCAGAAGATGATGAAGGGACTGGAGCATCTCCCATACAATGAGAGGCTGAGAGAGCTGGGACTGTTCAGCCTGGAGAAGAGAAGGTTCAGGGGATCTTATCACTGTATATAAATACTGAAGGGAGGGTACAAAGAGGACAGAGCAAGTGGGCACAAACTGAAACACAGGGGGTTCCCTCTGAACATCAGAAAATACTTCATCACTGCAAGGGTGACAGAGCACTGGCACAGGCTGCCCAGGGAGGTTGTGGAGCCTCCATCCTTGGAGATGTTGAAAATCCATGTGGGTACAGTTCTGGTTTGCAGTATGTAGGTGTGGCCCTGCTTGGGCATGGGAGTTGGATAACCTTCACAGGTCCCTTCCAACTTCAGCCATTCTGTGGTGGGGTCTGGTGGAAGGAAATTTGGCTGTCTGCTCCCTGAAAAAATTCTCACGGTAAAACAGTCCTCCTGAGTGGGAATCGTTACTGTGTTAGCAGCTTACATAGGTGCTCTTCAGAGTTTAAAAAATACAAATTATGGTCTCTAACTTGTATCAAAATAGCAACACTAGAAAATAGTTCTCTTCAAAGTGACTCTTAATAGATAGTCCTGCTGTGCCCTACGTGGGTCAGTATGACATCAAGAGTGGTAATTCTTATAGGTGTTGTCTTGTACCTATAAGTGCTATCCATTCCCTTCCTTTCCACAGACTAGCTCAGAGATTCCACGTATTATTTCTGCTGCTTGACAGCTTCTCCTAACTATTTTTTGGAGTGCTGTTGCTTTCCACTTTCCTGTGACACTAACATACAATCGGCATTCTTGTATAGGTTGTTGGGAACTGCCCTGAAGAAGGGTAGAAGTGGAGGTGTGGAGCTTAAGTGGAAATAACCTACTGTGAAAAAGGGTTGAAGAGTGGCATACTGCACAAGTATGTTGTATTCAGACAAAGATTGCAATCACTTTTCTTTTTTCTTCTTTCACAGTCCGGATTCTTCTTACGAGACCATGACCAGCAAATGGCCATCTGTCTGGGTGAAGATATCTTCCAGCTGGATTGGCATCGTGCTGTATGTGTGGACTCTGGTTGCTCCGCTGGTCCTTACAAACCGTGACTTTGACTAAGCTGTGCTGCTCTCTTGGGAGACACTGTTAGCTTCATTCACTGTGTCTTTGAGACAAACAGTATTCCAGATAGTAGTGCAGTTGTAAATACGTGTGTGTGTGCGCGTGTGCTGTCCATGTAGGATACCCTTCTTTATTCTGCATGATTACCTTGAATCACGTCTCTTGTCATTTCACTAGATGACTTTTTCTAGCTGAGCTCAGTGACATTGCTGTCATGATGGTTTTCATAGGATTACTCCTAGATCAAGTGCTTTGGGAGTACTAGCTGTAATATCAAGACCTTTTGGAAGTAGGTTTTTGTGTCCATCTCAATTGCATTAAATAGTTGTAGGAAAAAAAGTGCAAGTGTTGTTATTAGGGTAACAAACCAGTGTTAGATCAGGCTGTGGCAGCAAAGGAGAGGCTGCCTTTGATCATCCCTGTTGCCTTGATTCCAAAGCAAGTCTAGAGTAAGCATTGCTAAAGTGGTGTGTGTTGGGGGTTAGTGGACATCCTGCAGCAGTGTTTTGGCACTGACAGCCAGACCCTTGCCTGTTGTGAGGGCAGAAGTACCTTTAGCACAGATGGTAAATGAGGGAACTTGCACTTAAAGCTTCAGAGGAGCTGATGTCCTCCCCTCCTGCATGCTGCTGGGTCTGATGTGTGCCCTTGCAGACAAGAGGGCAGATGCCCTGGCGAGAAGGGTCCTAGCATCAGATGCTGAGAAGCACACTTTTAAGGCACCTGTTTACAACGTGCGTCTATGTATTATTACTATTTTTTAAAACAGTTTAAATGGGATAGCTGTGCTGTAATTTATTGCTGTTCTGTGTGCCGCTTCCTTCTTGGCTAAGCTACAATAACAAGAGTTCGCAAGGAGCAGAGTGGTGAAAACTGTGTAAGCCCTTTAGAAGCATTTTTGAGTATTGTTAAATTAAAAAAGCAGCAGAGGAAAAGGAGTGCTGAAATTGCAGAAGTTGAAGGAGGCTTGTATTAACTAAGGCTTCAACAAGTGTCTCTTCATGTATTTGGGGCTTTGAATTTTGAAATCTTTTAATGTATTAGGTATTTTGCTTGTTTGTTGCCAGATGAATTTGAGCATAGGAAGTCTAGATCTAGGCATGAGCTATTAATCCATTTGATTAAAACACTGTATAGTTCCCGTGCAGTTATGAAATCTTAAATGCTTTTGTGCTTGCTGCTTTGTAACTGAAGTAGGTAAGCTCAGTATTTCTGTTACTTGCTGCAACTTGAGGCTGGAGCAGCCTGGCTGGGGGTGATGCGGAGCCATGTTACTGTGGTGTTTATGCTCTACTCCCTGTTGCCAGTTATACTCTAAGCTTTTGTTTTAATTCTGCACCTGAACACTGACAGTTACAGCAGGAGTCTGACATGTCAGTCAAACTTGAGATGGTATTGGAAGGGTTAGTAAAGGCTTGTAATAATTTGGAATATTGTTACCTTATTAATAAATATTTGGATGAAGATGTCCAGTGACTTTTGATGTCTGATATTGCTGCTGGATGGGGACTGTGTGGTTTTGTGCTGTATTCTCATCTTCTGTTCCCAGGGGCTGTTTTATGGCACTTGTCATCCCATATGTAACAGCAGCTGCACTGCAGCGTACACCTACAGGGCAGGTAGTGCTGGGCTCTTTGGGAGGTCACGTCAAACCCCAGTGCCAAGTTCTCTGCCAGTTCTTCCCTCATACCCATTTGCTGCCATCTCTGAAAACACAAACATGCAACACTTGTACCTGTGTTCCTACTTCTTCACCTGCTGCCTTTCCATTGTATTGCACCTGTGTTGCACCCCTGAACCCTGCTTCTACCACAGCAGTTCTTGACTCCTGTAGTAACTAACTAGGCATTGAACTGGGAAGAGGAACAGAGGGCTGAGCTTATAGCTTCAGCTTTGGGGAGGGGGGAATTTACTGTGTGTGAAGTTACTAAATCCAGTTTCTCCCTTCTCTGGAACATCTCACACACTTAGAGCCCCTCAGACCTCTCCAGCTACAGCTTTGAGGGCAGAGAAGGAAGAAAACTATCTTCAGAAGGAGTTTAACTTTCTGCTTATACTGGATCAGGAACTCAAGGCGAGAAGGTTCAGTTAAGTGATCCAGCAGCACCTTCACCAGGCGTTAGTGAGCCATCGGGTGTGCAGCCATGTAATGCAGCGCCAGCACCTTCACAAAGGTGGAAGACCTAGTGACTGACAGAAACACTCCTGCTCCTGAGCTCTCCAGATGGAAGGAAAGCTGTGGGGCTCTCCCATGGCTTTCAGTGAGAAAATGAAGGAGGGAACAGCCTTTTGTGTACTCAAGAGAAAAACAGCTGCATTAGCCACTTGTTTTGGAGGCATACAAATAAACCTTGAAGGTTGGAGATAATGAGCCTATTTTCCAATAAACGCATATGGAAGCAGACCTCACTGCACAGCTACTCAGGCATGAAGAACAAGGGCTGTTAGATCCATCTGGCACACAGAGTAAAAGACAACTCCTAACAAGGGTCACACTGAAGTAACATTTATTTTACCAGCATAAGATGGTCCAAGTTAAAAGTACTCATGCAGTCAAGGGGCCTGGTGGCTGTGAAGAACTTTTCCCCGGTTTGTGCTATGTGTGAGCACTTCCACTGAAGTGAAAGTAAGGCAGAACCAAGATTTTGCAAGGTACAGGCACTTTGTTCCCAGTTTAAGCAGGGAAAAAAAAAGCCTACATCAGGTCCTGGTCCCCCCCACCCCAAAAAATGCTGTATGTTTGTTAAACAAAATGTTGTAAAAAATAGAAAAAACCCAAGATAGAGAAAGTCAGTGCTCCCTAACCATACACTACTAGTTTATGTCATATGTAAGACCAGAAGTATAAGAAGTCAAAGCTTACTATCAACAAGTGTTCAGTTACCTGGGATACTTAGCGATATGCATAATACCAAGTACTTCACAGCAGTACAGTAACAGTCTTGACTTGGTATTGTCAACCGTGCCTCACAGCTGTTCTAACCACGTAGTTAAACAGTTGCTTGTAGGAAGTAACATAGGAAAAGTATTTCAGATTCCACGTTACCTGGTTACATAAAACAGTGATTTACAAAAAACTCATATACCAAACAATATTCTAAATAAATAGTTCATGTCTATATACACAGTCCCTGTCACATCAGTTATCCAAGAAGGGCATGTCTGTGTCCATGGGTGCCGGGGCAAGTTCGCATAGATAGAACAGGGTGGCTTCACTCGCTTCTGCCTCTGTCAATGGCTCCCCCCCCCCCCCGTTGGTCTGGGGGGGGCTGCTGTCAAGGGCCCCAGCCGCACCAGTTTGCTCTGGGTGGGCTCAGGATCCAGGCTGCTCTCCAGCAGCTCGTCCACTTCCAGGGGTTTGTCAACACAGGAAGGAGTTTCCATGGTGGAGCTCCCACTCTCAATGGTGGAGCCTGGGTTCCCATCAAGGAATGCAAGGAGTGGAAACGCCGTGTACTGTATGAGCTGCTTGTCTAAGGGAAAAAAAATTCCAAAGCATCATCAGTTCATGTGCCTTTCTGTGTGCAGGAGGAAAAAACAAAACCCAACCCACAGAACTGATGTGAAGAATCGTTAAAAAACATTAAAGGTGTTAGTTTTAAATGAGCAATTAAAGGATTATGTACATGCATAATGCTATTTGTTCAGATTCTCCTGCAAAACTCCCAGGTTCTCTGCACATGGTGCAGTGCCAAAAAACCCCCACCCCAAAAATGGTAAGTATTTTGTTTTGAATTGCCTATCAGCATGCCACGAAACCAGACAAGGAGCAAATGCCTGAGATGGTTTTTAGAACAACGCTTGCTTGTTCAACCTTTCAACTGTTTTAAGCCAGTACTACAACTAACCTGATTTAGGCTTAGAAACTTGTGTCTCATGTGAAGCTGCAGGACCATCGTTATTCTTGGTAGTTTCTATTCCCTTTGTCTCCATCTGGAAACCAGAGCAAAATTTTAAACACATGCCAAAACCTGTTGCAATGCCACTAGGATGCAGCTCACCAGCTCTTATTTTTATTTGCAAAAGGATGCAGTGGTACCAGTTACCCATACTCACAGACTGAGAAAATGTGAAATGGAAGCACCGGCTTACTCAACTAAGAGCCAAAACTAATGCTCATAAACAAACAGGGCAAGTTCAAAGAGCTAGATCTTCACTCCACTGCTTCCTCATTTGTTTTCCCACCAGACGATACAGATGAAGCCATTCTGACAAAGCGTGTACTATGTTTGCAAGTACTAAACTCTTACAGGATACAGAAATCAACAGACTGGTACAACAAATGGGTAGTGGCCTCATGGTCATCAAGTTCTGAAGGATGTTATTTATGGGTGTGCTTTTCCCTTTTTTGTTTAAAACCTAACCAGATGAATTCAGCTGCAGCCTTCCTATTCTCATGGAAGCCTTCAAAGCCAGAGCATGAAAAAGGTGCTGTTACACCAGTAAAGAAAACAGTAAAGGATGAATGAAGTTTGCATCACTAGCTGCTGTGTACATCGAGCAAAGGATTTCAGACTTACTTTGGTATTAGAGATATGATCTGTGGGATTCATCTGCACGGAGCTTGTGAAAAGCTGAGTAAGACAAAACACATTAATTTTTAGGTATCTCAATGTTGCTATTAAAAATACATGAACATCACGTTGGCATGTGTGAGAATAATCCCTGTACTTGATGTTTTCATGCTCCATCAGGATTAGAGTTTATTTAAAGGCAGTTACCACTTTTGTAAAGAAAACCTAGCTTTGGAGTGCAATGGTTTGGAATTCCATGAACCTCAGCCACAAAGGAAACAACCACAATGTGTCTACTTAGTCTAACATGGTTTGCTGCAGTCTTAAAATACCACTTCCTTCTTATGCTGCTGCACAGAGAACTCTGTGTATAATAAGGAAGAACACAACCTGATCAAGTTTGCAAGTGAAACCAAAAGGGACCAAGTCGTCAACATGTGGGAGAGTAGAGCTGCTGTCAAGAGGGATCTTAGCAAAGCAGGAGAAGGGCCATAAGGTTTAACAGCCAAGCACATTTAGGACTCTATAACCTTATGCACCAGCCCAAGTTAGAGAACAGAGAGGGAGCAGCTCCTCAGAGAGGGAACCTGGGAGTTGCAGTAGGCAGTACGCCACCACGAGCTAGCAGCATGGCCTTGCTACAGTGAGACATATCTGCTACAGGCAAAGCACAGCCAGGAGGTCCCAATTACCATTTCCCTCTGCACAGCACCTGAGGCCACCTGTGGAAGAGTGCCCAGTTTTTGGGCTCCCAGTACAAGAGTTTTCAAACTAGGGAGAGTCCAGAGGGCCATGTGACATCCAAGAGGCTGAGGGAGCTTGGCTAATCTTGTATGGAGAAGGCAGATAAGGGAGGAGAATAACTGCACTCTTCCACTGCCTCTAAAGAGGTATTACGGAGAAGACAAACTCCACAGAGGTGAATAAAGGACAAGAGGCAAGAGCTACAAGCTGTAGCAGGGAAAACTGTCACCGACTTAAGGAAATTCTTCACAAAGAAGAATCAAGCACTGGAACATGCACCCAAGAATCTCCCGTCTTCAGAGATTTCAGAATTTGAGACAACAAGGTCCTGAGCAACATGATCCAACTTTCAAGCTGGCCCTACTTTGATCAAGGGGGCTGGCCTAGATGACATGCACAGGTCCCTTCCAATCTAGACCAATCTACTGGACATAAATCTGAAGAGAAATTGAGAACATGCTCCTAAGAAATAACATGAAATGTCAAACAAACTTGCAAAATAAATGCCAAGAGCCGTTTTAACACCAGTTAATTGAGAAGCCCACAGATGATGTGCTGGGCTATTTCAAAGCAAGAGTATTAATCTAATTGGTGTCCAAGTTCATGTAGCAAGAAATAAAAGCACTAATTCATTAAGAAAGCCATTCTTCAATCAAAACCTTAAGCATTCACTTGACCAGTAGTGTAGCACTGAAAGTTATACCAGCGCCCTAGAAATATGCTTACAAATACTTCTAACTTTCCTTTTTCAAAGGAAAGAAAAGGAAAATCTGTTGTTTTAAATAAATTTTAAACAGTAACAACCAACACAAGTATTTTCTGTAGTGTATTACCAAAGTACTTAAACAGTGAAGATTACCTCGACCAGGAGATCTGGATCTATGCTGAACTGTCGTCCTGATAACATTGCTTGGAAGTCCTCTAAACTGCAGTCAATGCTGTCAAGATAATCCAGAAGTTCAACCCTATAAGACAAACAGTATTTTATTCCACATCGCTTAACAAAAGGAAGAGAAATCCACAATTAAGCTTTACACAGATGTACTACATGCATCTAAAAATCTTCACAACTAGAATGAACCGAGTCTTTCATTAGAATCAACTGGGGTTAAAAAAAAGGAGAACTTTTAGCCTCTTCAACCCAACTAAAGCAGACAGGTGCTCCAAAACAGGTATCACATCACTGTAACATGATGACATGACATTAGCGGAGACATGATTCTTGCATCCCTAGAGTCCTATGAGTCCCGCTGCCTGCAACAGCTACGCAGACAAACCCTGACGGTTTAACCAACAACACCCACAACATTACACTGTCAGATTATGCACCCCAACTCACTCACTTTACAACGAAAATCAGACGTCTTGTCGCAGAGGAGAAGGGTCTTTAGAAACTGGACAGAATAAAGGTGACCTATGAACAAAAGTTCTCAACAGAAACTACTACTCAGTTCTTTTTACTTCAGACAATCATTTCTAATACTTGAAAAAAAAAAACAAAAGATCAGGCTACTTACTTTCCAAGGAGATTTATATTCTGCGAAATGACTCCGTTCTCATTGAGTATGGAATCCATCATTGAGACTGAATCTTCTGCAGTTAAAGTTGACTGGTTATTCAGCTGCACAGCACTTGACATGAGTGGGCTGGTACTGTCACTGACAGGGCTGAGTGGATCATTAGCTGGGACAGCAACTGATTCTGTGCTTTCATCCCCTTGAATTACAGGGGCATATTCTTCTTCATTATCATCTTCCACAATTACAATATCAGGAGAATGACTACAGCTGTAATGTGAGATAAATTAATTAAAGCCTTTCATACACTCATTAAACTGGGAGTGTTCTACAGGTTTAGTTACTTCTCACTTTAGTCAAACCACTGTAAGGAAATAAACTTTCCTACTGCTTTTTAATACAAAACACAGCAAAATACTCCAAATACCTATTTTCCACTGATACGGTGCTGTAATGCTCAACACTGTTAATGCAGCTCAGCTAGCAGACACTGTTGTGCTAAACCACAATAACAACCACTAAAAAGATAAAGGAACACTGGTATTTTCTGCATTAGAACAACTATAAGCTTGCATGTAAATGTAAAGTAACTATGAAGTGGACCCAAGCATATGAGGCCATAAACCAGAGAGACATTGTGTGTTTTTTATCTTTCCTTTTGAACGGAATCAACTCTAGAGCATCAGTCAACAGTGTTGTAGTTAATTAACCTTCTTATGTATACCAGGAAGGCAACTTAAAAACTAAGACGGTGTCCCAGGTAATCTGCTTTCATCCATATTCTGGTTTTCTTAACCCTTAAGTAGCTGCTAGTTGTGCTGCCTCTCTACCAGAGCCTTATCTTCATGAAACTTTTCTATTAGTGAATGCATTCCCAGGTATCAGCTGAACAAGAACAACTGTACTAGTTCAAGTATAAGATAGAAATATCTAAGTTTTATTCCTTAAGGCATAATACAGGTGCTATCAGTACCATGCAACTCAGGAAGAGAGCTGCATCTCAATCCCTGGACCAAGTGTCAACTGCTTGTAGCTGAAAGACGAACTACTTCTGTAGTACTGACAGGAAGAAACATAGTCACAAAACATTTGGGACTGTCAAAAACAAACCTGAAATTAACTGGCTTAAAGTTCAAAGACCACAGCAACATTTGACAACCAGCACATGCAAATTATTCTCTATAAACATCTGTAAAACCCACAGAAGTCATTCCTGCCTGTATTCATAACCAAAAGTATAAAGACACCACTAGAGTATACTCTGTCTTTGGAAAAGTAGTATATTTAACAAGAGTGCAATAATACGGATTGCTTCTCAATAGTTTCTATCCTTTACATATTAAAACTCCAACAGCCAATTAACTACTTGGAACAAATCCAGAGGTCAATAAATCAGAATCTAGTGTGAATTCATAGATGAAGCTTCCATATGTGCAGGAGTACTTAATAGTTCTGACTACTTTAAAAAAAAATAAAAATCTAAGGTATCTGAATTATTCCACATTCCAGAACACTGAAAGCCACTTATCTATATACGTTTCTAGAGACTTCTTACTTTGAAGAATCAGAAGTGGAATCTTCATTTGCTTCTGGTGGAATGGGAAGATTTTCTTCATCAGCCATGGGATTTTCTTCATCAGCCATGGGATTTTCTTCATCAGCCATGGGATTTTCTTCATCTCCCACATCCTCAGTGACATCATAAATAATGATGTCATCTGAAATCTGTTCCCTTTGTTTTAAGCTCTCATTTCTGTTGAGAGGTACCTGAGAATTATTTTAAAGAGAGTCAGGGGATAGAAAGACAAAGAGCTCCAGCATTCTGACAGTTTTACCATTGTATCTTCCAATGCCTCAGCTTTAAAAGTGTAAAAGCTTTCCTACACCTCAAAAATTATAAGCTGTTTGTACAGATCTACATATAATCAAGAAATCATACAAATAAATGAACAAGCTGAAAAATAGCAGCTCCAGGAAAACAATGTTTCACTTTCACAAATACTGCAGTCATAGAAATAAAAATATACTAGCACTGTCAGCAAAAGCAACAAAAAAAAGCTGTGACAACATGACTACCCAAGAACCAAAAATACTAAAACAGTGGCTATTTAAATAACATTTTGTTATAAAGCTATTAATTCTAGTACCATGCTCCAGCCCTCATTTTAATAATTTCCCCATCAACCATTATTTGGACAGCAGAAAATAACTTTCAGTGGCATGACACATTCAAATGGCACAGGGACGTGACATGATTTTGCTGGGTTGGATGCTGCCCTGCAGAACAGCATGCTAGATCCTTGTCCCTGTATGGGGCTAGGTGCCTAACTCCCAGAGATACTAATGCAACATATGTATGTTTTTTCTAACAACTCTATTACTAAAAGCAGACTGCTTTCAGTAGGATCACATCAAGCTGCATTTAACACACAGGTAACTGGCTTATACACACTTATATTGAAAAGTGAATGGTGACTATCAACCCACTTGGCTTCTGAAGGAAACACAACACAGCATACCACTTTGAGAAGTTGACAGCTCTCAGTAAACAGCTATGTTTTATTCCCCATAAAACAAGCTTGATCAGTCTGCCCCTCTTTCATCTTAACAAAGAGTACACATGAAAGAAAACTTACATGATGGTTACTGTCAGCTGGTTCTTTCACAATTTGTTGAAATACATTCGACTTTGTAGGTCCATTAGTGTTCAGAAGAAGAGGCCTAAATGAGAAAGAGTATAGGAAAAAAGCCACCTCGGAACTAAGTCCTTGGTTTAAGTCAACAAAACATGTCCAGTGTATCGACTGGACAGCAAGTTTTTAAGACTCGTATTTACCTCTTCCGTTTCAGGCTCACTAGTTGGTTATTCTGCACCAAGGTAACAATAAATTGTACAATCTGTAAGGAAAAAACACTACTGTTAGTAACTCTGCTCTTTGTTTCTCTCAGATTATCAAGATACCTTTTAGCAGAAGACTCCAATACTAAGATCTACACACTAACAGCAGAACACTTATTTTGTGTGGTAAGTTTCATATAGAACTGTTCAGAAAAGTTAAAAATCATGATAGAATAGAAACCACTGCTGGCAATATCTGAAAACAATAGTTATTTGGTTGTCTGAGAAAGACTTTTCACTTAGCAGGCAGTAAGCATAGACTTTGCACTGTATCATACAGTACACAGAAAAACATCCAGTAACTCAAGCTATTGGAAGAATTCTAGTAAGCAATGACGGAAGCACACTGAAATGCTGACTGTATATGCAACCTGTATCTGTAAATACTGGCTCTGGTGAAAGGCATTTCAGAAGAAAAAAGTGACAGGTACACTTAACAGTATTCATGAGCTGCCTTTCCCTTTGAAATGTTCGACTTTCTTCCCTTACGTTTCAAATTTACGGATTAAATGTATGTATTTGGCTTGAACAAACTGGAAACTGACTTATGCTAAGTAATCAGTAAGAGTCGCTGCTGTGAGGCTGCTATCAGTAATATTATTTCTGCTATGCAAAAAAAAAATAAAATTAAGTATGATACTCTCTGCATTTACATCAGTTTTGGCAGATCATAAATCTGTTAAACTAAGCTAAGCTAACATATTATCAGTGGGTTCCACTCAATGATCATCCAACACAGAACATTCAATTTCTGAAGTAACAAAGTGGATGGACCATTTTAAGGGTATCTTAATTAACGATGTACAATATTTCTGAACCTTTGAAAACGTTTACAAGAGTTTGGCCTTATTTTCTGCTTATGCATGTTTGTTTCACATAGATTTGTTCACCATACACCACCCTGTTGTTTTTTTCTATTAAAAAGACATTTCACACACCACCAAAAAAAAAAAAGTGAGGGCAAAACAAGGTAACACGTGGCACAGTATTCCTAGTTCAGAAGCATTCACACATTCACATACAATGCCTCAATGAAGCCTTACCTTCCGAATAACTTGCTGCTGTTGCAAGTGTTTTGCTCTCAGTTCTGCTACTTCCCTCCAAAGGGATTCATTCTCTCTGTTTGAAAACGATGATTTAAAAGTTTTAGAATATATACATTAATAGTTTTTGTTAAGATTAGTTGGCTTCATTTGAAATGTGGTTTTGGATTGCATGTGTGGGGGAAAAAAAAAGAAAACACGTCACACAGTCAGCAACCTTGGCAAATAATTACTAGATGGAGACCCAAATAATAAACAGCCTCCAGAGAATTTCCAACCCCTTAAAAAAACCAAGTAATTCCAAAATTCAGCAGTTCTTATTACACATACAGTCAGCATTTATTTTCTTTCTTGTAACAAAGTTAACTTCTCTTCTTCCTTCTGGTGATTAAATAAGAACAACAATAATAATAACAAAAAACCAAGCATAAAACTAGTTCCTACCAGCAGCAAGGGACCAAAGAGCACAAGAATGCAGTTTCCTCTCACCACTAAAAACCGAGAGTTCTTCATCTATACTGACTGTTCTTCAAGTTCTTCATCAAACCTGCTTGTCCTCCCTCAGACACCTCTTGCTAGATGCAAGCTACCTGTGAGCAACTGTACATCCCCCTTGAAAGCATCTTTACAGAACAAGCTCTCAAGTCACACATGCACATGTGGGTCATCCTATGCTGCCTCTATTATCAGTGCAGGAATGAAGACAACAACAATAAAAAACAATAAGCAAAAACATTAATTGTAGAAAGAAAGTATCATAAGCAATATGCACAAACCAAACTCTGCCTCAAACTAAATACAGTAACTACTTCAAACTTGAAGACATAAACCAGCACACTTTATGCTAAGAGCCAAGCTGAATATTCAGCCGCAGTAGCATCATGGAACTATTATTAAAGGTGTTATTTAATTGCCCACTACTAGACAGTTCTCCAAACACCAACACTGCCTATTACTTTTAGCCATATCAGAATACTCGTTTTTTAAACGCAATGCTTTTATTGAAATTTATTTTCTTACAGCAATATTTAAAGTTAGGAAATAAAAAAATCAAGAGACACTTAAAAATTAGGTCTTTGGCTGGTATCTCTTATCAGAATTACTCAATTTTAGGGATTAGTTGCTGATGGAGCAACTTACCTCTTCAAAGCAGACAACTGAGATTCAATGGTTTCTTGTTTAACCTGCACTTTTTGAGCATTACTTATTATTTTGGAGAGATCTTCCTGACGTATCTTGTTTTCTTCGGGTCTCGAAGAAGAAACCTTTAAAAGATTAGAATTCATAAACAATGCTTTCTTTGACTCATTGGTAACTATTTTCTTTTGGCGATCAAGCATATTTTGCTCTAGTGTCGACAGACTATGCATTTAAGTTAATAATACTCCAAGCATCAAATAATAATTAAAACAAAACCAGAAATTTCTCTTTATAGCTGCCATCACATTAGCTTTAGTTGTTACAAATAGTTGTGTACATTCAGATTTGTTAGGCATTCTCCTAAGTCCTCTACTTCATCCTAACTGCTTCACAATAACCCAAAGTTAACAAGTACGTCCCTCTCACCACAGTTTAAATGCTGTATTTCTATTCAGCATCTCTACCTGACTCACAGCAACAGCAGAACACATCTCAGAATCACATTTGGCAGCATAACAAACATTTATAAGTTTGCCCCCTGTTCTCTTTGGTGCAAAGTTTAATGCTTACAGCAGCTTTGTGCTGAAACAAGCTACGTAAACAAGCAGATTGTTATATTACTGATGGTAAAGTCAAAGCATGCTCTGCACTCCAATACCCATTTGCAAACTGCTGTATTTCCAGAACTAGCTTATTTTTGCCACCTGTGAAACTTCCTATAATGACAGTAAAGGTTAAAGGAGGCTAGTCAAATCTCCCAAAATATCCTTAAATAAGTCAAGATATATATGAGAGCAGTGCAGACTGCTTCCTCAACTCCAAACTTATTTGCACTTGCAATCCTGCAATTAAACTTGACATTAACTTTGCTGTTCATTCAATACTTACAGGCTTTCCACTGAATTTTCACTAACCTTCCTTTTAATGTGTTCCAACAAGTCCTCCCGGCCCTGCTTAAAATATGGATGCTGAAACTCTACTGGACCATCTCGCTCCACTTTGACAATCCCAGAATCAACATGGACAACTTTACGGAAGCCATCTTTAAAGGAAAAAAAAGGAGAAAAAACCCAAACAACTCTCAAAACCCACATTAAGAAATTCAAACTATGGTGTTCCAATTATACCGTTACCAGTTTTGAGGATAAGACAGTATCCTAGTTGCAGAGAACACAGGGCCACTGCTCAAAGGGTACGGTCTCTAACGAGAACTATGCTAGAAAGCAAAAAGCCAAGAACTTACACATGTTTAACTGTCTGACAAAGCTTGCCATGTTGTTGTGCTTGAAGTACTTGGGAAGAATCTCTTTTGCAAATCTCTGTTCATCCAATACCAAGAAACTCTGGCCATTCTAGAATAAGACACACATTAAGAGACTTAAAGACCATTGGAGAAAACACACTGGGCTTTCAGAATTAATCATCAGATAGGAATGTTTCCTTTGTGCATGCAGTATGTAACTGATCTGCTTGCTTACTATTTTCCACAACAGAAACCATACAAAACCTGCAGCTGGAAAGCAATGGAGTATTATCAATTTACAATCCCTATCCATATCTGAAGGGGAACATCTCTATTGTTACTCATGGCTTCCTCAAGAAATTAACTAATTGTTTACCAACAATTACCACAGTTTCACTACAAGACAATACTATAAATTTTGCACATAGCTTCAAAGGCTTGGGAAGTAATCTAACAAAGAGACTGTGCAAGGAAAAACACCAGCAACCAGCTGAAACTCACTTCTGCTTCCCAATATAAAAGCACGGTTAGTTTAAAATGACTTGTAGAGTGGATGGAGCTGTTAAAGAGCTAGTGTCTGCTGGGTTTTGGAGTCACCAAAAAGGTAACCACCCAAGGCAACATCCCTCTCCTCCTGGGATGCCAATTACGATGGAGGACTGATCTTTATTTCATCCACAGGCCTAGACTAAAATAGAAGCCTTAGTTCTTTGTTCTTCAATGACTGTTCTCCATTAATCAAAGGAGAAGTATTTGGCAGAATCCAAACCAGCTTCTTCAAAATGGTTTAGGTTCTGTCTGTACATCCACAGTACCCTCACCCTGTATTTAATGAGAAACCTACCATCTTTGACAGATGTCAGCACTGATACTGCATCATCTTAGAAGCCCTTTCTAGTTAAACGAGTCACATTTGTTTCTTACCTCCAAGTGACAGCAGTTCTATGGTCCCAAGAAGCTTAAAGAAACAACCATGAGACCATGTGATCCTTGCCCAGGAGTTTGTTTCTGACACATCAGCGAGGATCATCAGCAACAGGATTTATAAATGGCTCACCATTACATGAGTTAGGAGCTCAAGTCTGAGGAGAGGGCAGGAAGACAAAAACTTCCCAGTAAAGCCTGCCCGACCTCCTGCTGAGCATGTCAGTGGAAGAGAAAAAGGGGAAGCAAAAGAAATTGTAGGAACAGGCCACTTTAGCCAATGCATTATTGAAACCTACCATCTGAAGGTACTCAAACAAGTGTACTATGGTGATCTGCAGTACCTCACTTCAGTGTCACTTTGATGTTGTTCAGACCTAGTGCATAAGAATCTGGGAAACATATCTAATGGAAGTTCTTGTTGCCCTGGCAGTTGTTTACAGCAGAGCAGTACAGACTTTAAAGCCTGACTTGAACTCACTGAAGCATTACTACACAGCTAAATACTGTTTTCAACTGCTAATGTTACTGTCTGCAGCATTCAGCCACCTTCCAAACACTTTGGTACTCCTTGTGTGTGTTTCCACGGACAACACATACCATGGTTTCATGTACGTGTGTTTGAAGGGAGACAAAATTTGGCTGTTTGGTTGCAGATGGTGTTTATCCATACAGTGTAAGTTTATGGATTTGCATAGGAGGAAAATGAAATATTATAGTAGCTGTACTCTTCCCTCCCTATTAAAACTAGTACACTTCCTGTACCCACAATATGGACACAGCCTATTTTCAAAAGATGTTGCCACTTGTGTACCAAGTGATCCCAATACCTTCCCCCATACATGAACTGCTGCATGCCAATAACGTCAACTGTGATTAGTCTATCTTCCTCCCACAAACAACCTTGCAGAATCCCAAACAATTAGTCTTTCTTTTTAATTAAGAAAATACTACAAGAATACCCAATAGCCATGGTGTGCTTACTTGAGATAAGGATAAGCAATTAATTTGGAAAATCTCTACTGAAAGCCCAAGGTGGCAAACCCAGCACTTCTTAAGCTAGACAACATCTCAATCTTCATGCTGCCCTTAGCATCTCTTCCAGGGGGGGAAAAAAAAAAAGGTAGGGAAAAAAAAATCCACAAAAAACCCCCCAAAAAGCTGCCCATAATCTACCAAGTCTACCTGTTTCCTCCAGGAAGTTTTGGCTAAAGTTACCAGTAACGCATTACCACTAAAATGTTTAAGAAAGATATTTTATCATTGCTTGAGCATTTAAAATAAACTCAGACAACAGCTGCCATCTTAACACCACCTGAAGGTGCTGATGCAGTTGGAGGCCAAGATTGTTTTTAACAAAAATTATTTTAAAAACATCTAAGATACAGAAAAAAAACCCAAACCACCCTTGCTTGGCATTCATTAGAACAGTTAATGATGCTTACTGCAGCAAACTTGCCAGGTGGTTACTTCCTGCCTTGCAGTGTTTGAAGATGCTTGTAACCCTTGTGCTCTGAGAATGCTTATTTACTATTTCTGCATCCGAATATAAAGGATTCAAGATGAGAGGGCATCCATCTCAGGTTTTCCATTTAGACACCTATGGACACAGGCACCGCGCACGTCTAACCTGCAGCTCGCAGGACAGGGGTGCAACAGGCACATCGACACTTGCCCCGCAGTCGCCACCGGCGGTGCCCAACCTGCCCGTCCCCAGCGGTGCCCGCTCCGGCCCCAGGGCGGGC